TCTTTTGTTGTAAACAAGGAATAAATTTGAGAGAGGGCAAAAAGAAAAAAAAATCTTCATGTCTTACCTCAAAGAAGATGAAACTATAATTTTTCTGGACTAGAAACTAGAAGATACAATGTATAGTAATCTAAAGGGTGGCTCATATTACAAGAAGAGGCATTTAAATGAAAAAACATTTCGTATTGGATGCTGTAAAATAGGAACACATGGCGTGGGGGGCAGCGGCAAATCCTTAAAAGTCTTGGACATCAGAGCAAGGGAACTAAAGTGAAAACAGAAATTGGAATAGGTAAAGAGAGATACAGAATCCCATCAAAAACCCATTCATACTGCTTGCAGCAATGAATTGAATGTCAATGAATTGAAAAGGGCGCTGAGGAGAAATGAGTATCACCGTGTTCCAATACAGATTTGCTAATTTCGGCAGCATTTGTCTATCTTGTTCTACCAGCATAACTAGTCCAAAAAAAAAAAAATCCTAAATACAGGAAAAGGCTAATCTTTTTCATTGGCAGGTGACCAAAGAAAACACTTTCTCCAATAGGCAGTATAATAAGGCCATACAAACAAGACTGCACTTATCAAACATTTTTATCTGAAGTGCTCAAAACATTTGCCAATATTATACCCAGTTCAACTTCCCCCTCACTAGCTTCCTCACAGCTTTGAGAGGAAAAGCAAGCTTTTTATAGGAAAGATGTCTCCTCTGCATATTGGTATAAATCTGAATACAACTTTAGGAAAGAACTTCCCAAAGAGGGTGTGGGTGGGGGCCCCAAGGAGTCTCCAGGGTTCCAGATCCTCCGAGCACTCTGCTAAAGGCTTTGTTTTGCCACATCAAAGGCAGTGGGGCAAAGTTTCTCTTGGCAGCCATGGATGCTGCCAAGAAGAGCGAGTCTTCATTTGTGCCAGGGACCAAAAGGGAAAATTCAGAAGGAAGAGTATGAAGGCATTTCCCTTCCAGATTTAAGTAGGGGAACAGACCTACTGAGTCACTAATCCTTTTTTCCAGAGGTGGTATCATTATCTGGGTTTTATCCTCAATGGATAATTGTATGGAAAGTTAAGTGTTTAACATAAATAATTTGCTCAAAGTTACAAAGAACATTTGTGACAGAGAGGGTTATAGAATCCAGAGTTCAACTTTAAACAGTTAGATCTAAGTTTTCAGATGAGCTCTTAAAGGTTTGAGAGTTAGAAGAAATTTGATTACATTTTTTTTTTTTTTAATGAAGAGAACAGGAATGGGTAGCAACATCCATCAGTCCCACGGTTTATCACAATACTGTGGTCCAACGTCAGGGAACAGAAAAAACGCAATTTTACAATTAGAGGGTTAAGTAACAGGCGGTACTTCTTGTTCCATAGCTTTGTATAAGACACATAATTGTTGCCATACTTTATTACCGATGGAGCAGATTTACCAGACAGTGAAGGTGGCAAGCATGTCATGGAGAATTGGCTTTACAAATTTTAGAAAAATTGTTTAAAATAAATGACACAAGCTGAGGCAGGAGGATCACCTGAGGTCAGGAGTTCGAGACCAGTCTGGCCAATGTGCTGAAACCCTGTCTCTACTAAAAACACAAAAATTAGCTGTGGCAGCAGACACCTATAGTTCCAGCTACTCAGGAGGCTGAAGCAGGAGAATCACTTGAATCCAAGAGGCAGAGGCTGCAGTGAGCTAAGATCCCGCCACTGCACCCCACCCTGGGCAACAGAGCGAAACTCCATCTCAAAAAAAAGAAAGAAGAAAAGAAGCAATCCTTTCTTTTGTTCTACGTTACAAGTGGCAGGTGCTTTTCTGAGCCTCTGGCACTGATAACCTGAAGCCCTGCTCTAGACAAGGTGAAGAGGCCTTCTCCCCAGAGTAGCGTGCTGGACACTGAAGGAGCTCCCTGCTTTATTAGGACATCTGGAAGGAGCCAAAAGGGCTATCATCAAGTACTCAATCTTGTGGACAGAGGATCTGAAACATCAAATTTGCTATGGCTTGAAGTAGATGCATTTTTCTGCTTTTGAACTTTGGAAGCATTTTGATAGTAACATTTTTTATTTTTTTCTGCTGGGCCTTAATATTTCAGAAATTGGGCCAGGTGTGGTGGCTCATGCCTATAATCCCAAGCACTTTGGGAGGCTGAGGCTGGCAGGTCACCTGAGGTCGGGAGTTTGAGACCAGCCTGACCAACATGGAGAAACCCCATCTCTACTAAAAATACAAAAAAAATTAGCCAGGTGTGGTGGTGCATGCCTGTAATCCCAGCTACTCGGGAGGCTGAGGCAGGAGAATCGCTTGAACCCAGGAGGTGGAGGTTGGGGTGGGCTGAGATCACACCATTGCACTCCAGTCTGGGCAACAAGAGTGAAACTTCGTCTCAAAAAAAAAAAAAAAAAGAATTGCAGGAGGCGGAGGAGGTTGCAATGAGCCAAGATAGCACCACTGCACTCCAGCCTGGGCCAGGGTGAGACCCTGTCTCAAAAAAAAGGCCATTCTATTGTTTCAGGGATGCTAAGCAAAACACAGTTCTCTTCCAAATTCCGCAGTATGTAGGAAGTCCATTTGGGGTCATCCCATCCATTCTGAGTGTATGAAAGAACTAATAAGACATGAGAAAGGTGGAAGGAAAATTATGTTGGATATATGAAAGTTTATTAATACTAGCAGCAATAGCAAACTTAAAATTTCTTAAGTAGTTCAGTGTCAATTCCCATCAATTTTCTTGACGTTGATGCTGTACATTTTTTTTTTCTTTTTTTTTTGAGACAGGGTCTTGCTTTGTTACCCAGGCCAGAGTACAGTGGTGTGATCTCAGCTCACTGCAACCCCTACCTCCCAGGCTCAAGCAATCCTCCCACCTCGGCCTCCAGAGTAGCTGTGTGCTACAGGTGTGTGTCACAACACCAGGCTAATTTTTTTGTGTTTTTTGTAGATATGTTGCCCAGGCTGGTCTTGAACTCCAGAGCTCAAGTGATCCTCCCACCTCAGCCTCCCAAAGTGCTGGGACTATAGGCGTGAGCTACCACACCCTGCCGATGCTGTGCACTTTACATTACTATTTAGACAATTATTCCCTTCCTGCCTTCTGGGCCCACACCCTCTCCTTTCTCCCAATCTGGCTTTTTTTTTTTTTTTTTTTTTTTCTGTGAGGCACTTTGAAGATCATTCCTACCCTTGATGTGTTAAGGCTAAAGAGGCAAGAGAAAAAAGAAACCTCTTACCTTAAAGGCTTAACCACATTTTAAAGCACAAAGTATTGGTTCTAACAGGTAGATTTTATGTTTGTTTGTCTGAAATCATTATCCCTTAGGGTACAAATTTCATTTCTTTCAAGTTTTCTATGAACTCAGTTCCTCTCAGACTGAAGGAATAATCGATAGCAAGTGGTTTCGACCTGACAATGTGCAGCTGGCCCATTCTTAGGGACAGACACAGCTGAAAGAGTAAGTGACATCTATAGGCACGTTCTAGACTTGCGAAATGTTTCTCAGTCTTTTTTCATTATCACCCTCCTAGCTTTTTAGACCTTTTTTTCTGTTTGTCCACTCCCCATGAAATTTTGATATCATGAACATATTATCTATCTATATATTTTTTGAGGACCACAAGCCATCCTAACATCTATTTTTTTTTTTTTTTTTTTATCACAGCTTCAGTGGAAGAATGTGGAAGAATTAACCTCC